TTATTTTCTTGGTACTGTTCTTCTGTGGTTTTGGTATTAAGAAAATGCAAATTCCATAAAACAAATTGGGAAATGTTCCTCCTCCTTTTTTTTTTTTTTTTTGATTAGACTTGGCATTGATTCTTTTAATATTTGGTAAACTGGTCCATTGAACAATACAGACCTAAAAATTTCTGTTAGAGAGTCTTTTAATTATAAACTGTACCCTTTGAATATTCGTAAGGCTTTTCAGAGGATTTATTTCATATTGAGTTATAGCAATTTTTGTTTAGGTAAATTGGTTTATTTATTTTTAACTGTCAAATTTATATGTAGAATTGCTGATAGTATTTCCCATTATCTTTTTAAGGTCTGAACTGTAGCATTTATAATGGTTTCCAAGTATTCGGTGATTGTCCTGTTATTTTTCTGTTTGGCTCCAATTTTGTAAAAGAATGCACTCTGTGTGGTTTCAATTGTTGTAGATTTTTTGAAACTCTTGGTACAGTATATGATCTATCATGTAATACATTCCATGTGTAATTGAAAAGAATGTCCATTCTGTTGTCTCTGAGTGGATTGTTATATATATTTTGATTAGGTTCTGTGGGTTAATCATATTGTTGATAATTACCTGTGTAGTTTTTCTACCAGTTGTTGAGAGAAGGCGTTTTTTAAATATAATTGTGATTTGTCTCTTCCTTTCTTCAATTTTGTTAGTTTTTGCTTTACCAATTTTCAGCTCTTTTGTTTGATGCTGAAACACTCAGGATGCTATGTCTTCTTGTTAAATTGACACTTGATTCTTTATAATGTCCTTTTCTATTCAATAATATTTGCTCTGAAGTCTGTCTTATCTATTAATGTAGCAAACCCTGTCCTTGGATACATTTTTGCATATTTTATATGTTTATAGGCACCTTTTAACTTCAAACATGTCTAATGGTTATGTTTGAAGTGAAATTTTTTAGACAGTATATGAATAGTTTTTTTTTTTTTTCCAAATTTGCTCTGCCAGTCTCTCTGTGTATAGCTGTCATTTACATTTAAGGTAATTATTGATAAGGTTTAAGTCTGCCTTTTTGTCAGTGCTTTATTTGTCTGCACTTATTGACATTCCTTGGTTGTCATCTTTGGCTCCAAGTCCAGGAATAAGTGAGGCAAAAGCAAAACCCAAGGAATTCACCACAGTGTGGTTCCTTAGGTTCTCTAATTTCAACTCAGTCTTTTTACATCAACATTGAGTTTTATGTTTGCTTATGTACCTTGCCCAGGTTTTTAATTTGGCTAAACAGAAGGTAAAAGGAAAGGTACATTTGTTTTATATTCAGAAGTGAAGTATGTATTTTAATATAGAGGAAACTCTGCTTCACCAAATAATGTTAATATCTCTAATTTCAGGGAAGCATTCTTTTTTTGATGGGAGTACTCTATCTTCTCAACTTCATATATTAGTTTTTTTTTTTACTGATGCCAGCTCCTCCAATGTGTATATACACACACATAAACACTCCCCCACACACACTTTTCTTTTGTTCAAAATACACTATATGACAAAGTTCTTACACCAGAAATAGTCACATTAAAACTAGTTCCTTCTATATTATTTTGAGTTGTATCTATAGTTCATTCCAACAGGCTCATATTTTCTTAAACTATATTGGTGCTGTTTATTTTTTTTTTCATTTGATTTTGTTGAGTACCTACAATGTGTCAATAACCAGAACTTTCAACAACTTACTCGGAAGGTGTTTGTTCATCTATTTAACAATACTTATTAAACATTCAAGGAGAGATGTCAAGTGGGCACTTGAGTCTAAAAATAGTGAAGTCAAGTTAGAGTCCAGGAAAAATTAGTTACCAGAGGCAACATAGTATCTTTAACCATGGTTTAATATAAAATTCCTTAAGAATTAAAGGTATATAGAACAATCACAAGGTCCTGGAACTGATTACCATTGCCATAGCAATAAATAAATAGGAATAATTAAAAGGTGCCCAATCTCTGCTTTAATGTTGTTTCTAGTCTGAAAGTGAGGAAGAGACGAGATCTCATCTTACTTGTCCAGATGAAGAAAATTTATGCTATAAAAGCGTTAATCTAAATTTCATTCTGCATGACACAAAGGGTGAGTTCTGTTTCAGCCAACTCTAAGAGACATGAAACTACATCATCCTTATTTTTGAGGCCGCTTGACTGTTCTATTGCCATTGTCTGTATTTTCTTCCCTTTCTTATAGTTGGCTCCAAACTGAACTAAGAAACAGGAAGAGTATTTTAGGTAGTCAATACCAGAAAGTCACCGACTTCCCAGAAAGTGGAATCTATGATGGGAGGTGTTACCAAAAGTATTGAGTGTTCTTGGGAGAGGTGAGGTGAGGGGAGTATCATAGGAGCTCTGACCATCAGCTGTACTGCAGAGTTAGGCCCATATTGAGGCAAGGAGTACTAGTCTTTTACTCCTTTTTAATTAGCTTTTGGTAACCAGCAGAACTCCAGAAGGGGTTTAATGCCCTGAAAGGAAGCTCCCCGTCAGCCAGGAAAAAGTACCTGGAGAATGGGGCATTTATAAGTTGTCAGCAGCAAACCTCAGAGTGTCCAGGGGATGAGAGCACCCCTTCATTGAAGGGTGTCTGGACACAGTGCCAGTGGATCTCTTTTATTGGACTCTTTGCATTGATCAGATCTTCTTGCTTAACTCCAGTCTATCTGTAGCTTCTCTGGGAATCTGGTCACATTTCTGAGAAAACTTTGAAAAGGGTTACTGATATTAGAGGTACCACTTTCACCTCTTATGGAATCTGTCATGTGGCATGGACCAACCTGTAGGACTATTAATCCAGAAGAATAAACCTCATATGAAGTTACTTCTTGGTTTTGGATTCACTCAAAATTAACAGCCTTTTCTGTCACCTGAAACTCCTCAGAGCAGTATTGCCATATGTGGAATATCTTTCCAAGACTAAAAAGGCCTTCCAAATGTCATTCTTCACTTTTAATGAAAGGTGGCACAAAGTATATGAATGTGTGCTTCACCTTGGAGACGATATGCTGGTAGTTGTCAAAACTCTATAAGATTCCTAGGAACTTGACCAATATATTGAATTGCTGAAACTGTACATTTTCCCAGCCTCTCAAGAGTATGTCTACCAAGGCATCCAGTATACTTGCTCTCCTGTTATAATCTCCAGAAATAGTAGGCCAATGTGCTATTCTGCAGGTTATCTAGATCAGCACTGTGAAATAGAATTGTGATGCAGTCCACATGCATGACTTGAAAATTTCTAGTAACCATAGCATAAAAGAGGTGAAATGAATGTTTTTGTTATCTCAAATTATCCAAAATATCATCATTTTAACATGCTGTCAATATAAAAAATGATCGAAGTTAAAAGAAGCATGTCTATGACAGAAGTTATTACTGATGCTTTTTTCCCCCTTGACTTGGGTACAAGTCTGGAAAACTTGGTCACTTTTGTGCAGAAGAGTCAAAACAGAATGGATATGGCTGCTGCTTTCTTACAGGGAGAAACTGATAAAAGGTTGGAGAGATCTCGAGTCAGTGATAGAAATTTTTTCTGCTGTGTTCTTTGGCTTAAACATATACTTATCACATCACACTCCAACATCTTGTTGCTCCAACAGCATCCGTTGTCATGTAGGTTACCAAAGTGCTCCATATAGTTGCACCAGCTTCTTTCCATCTTAAGAATCCATCGAAAATGCAGGACAACGAATATGACATTACTGGAGATCATCCTGAACCTGTTTTAACTGACATAAACAGTCATGAAATATTGATTCTTCCCAAGACATAAACATGATTATAATCATTTACATCACACCCATTGTGATCCTCTCATTTTTCAGGTGACCTCCCAGGTAAGCCTTGGAAATCTCTGGATTGGCAACTTCTTTTATGTTTCTTGTTCAGTAGTCGGCTCCGTTTGCTCAGCATTTATTTTTATGTTTAACAAAAGGATGTGGATTATGTTATTTTATAATTGAAAGCCACCAGCATAGGCAGCCTGAATCCAATTCCTCTTCATTTCAGTCAAATTTCACATTCCATTACAACAGAATTAATTTGATGGCCAAATCCGGTATGTTACTGCTTTCTAGCTAGATTTGCTTCCAATTTAACATTCTAACTATGCTTGTAAAATAGACAATAAAACAATCTTTTCTGATTTGGGAAATACTCTTTATTTTTCATTTCTCTCTGCTCCACTGTAACATTTTAGCTGTTTTATGGAACAATCACTTTGCTCATCTAATTACTGCAATTCCCTGGTAGATGGCCTCCCTTGCCCTGCAATAGCAAAATTATCATAAACACACAATGCCATTGCCAGCATCTCATCTTCCACATGCGTCAGTGAGCAGACTGAGGTTTTCCCCTCTCTAAATTATGCTCTCGCTAAATTGACAATTTTCCTGTGAACCCATCCGGCCTTTCTCTGACATTCCAACCAATTCTCAAGAAAGTTAATCTTGCCTCATAGGTACTCTTCTGGTTCAGCTTTTTGTGCTTACACGTGTGTGTGCATGCCGATGAAAACGGAGTCTGGACTCCCCTCGTGGAATGTTAGACACCAAACTCTTTTAACATAGAAGGCTTGTGGGCAGCTCCATAAATCATAGGGACAGTAGCACCCAATTCACAGAAAATCCCTCTGAAAATTACACAGCTGCCAAACATTTTAACTTTGGTAGGCTACCAAATGAAAACTTGCTTTAGAAATCAATACTGAAAAGTTTAGAATATGGATTTGTTTTCAGAATTGAAGAGTAAGGCATCAATTAAAAAAAAAAAAAAAGATCAGAACCTCAGAAGGTCTCAGGATCAAGCCCAGGCCAAGATGCTCTGAATAGAAGACTCTAGAGAAGCTATATGACTTCCTAAAACCTACACATCCTTCCAGAGGAACACTGCCATCAAGACCTTAACTCCTGGGTTGATTTCAGAGATGCAACTTACTAAAGAAATTTGGGTTCCCGAGTCAAGAATAAACAAGAGTGCTTGCTTCAGCACAACATATACTAAAATTGGAATGATACACAGATTAGCATAGCCCCTGTGCAAGGATGAAATGCAAATTTGTGAAGCACTCATATTTTTTTTCTGATATCTGGATGTTGGCCCACAATGGGGAGAGCAGGGGGAAGAATGGAGGAACTTTGAGCAGAGGTGAGGATGGGGAGGGGAGGGGGGGTATGGGGGTAGGAAAAATGGTGGAATGAGAGGGACATCATTACCCTAGGTACATGTATGACTGCACAAATGGTGTGACTCTACATTGTGTACAACCAGAGAAATGAAAAATTATGCTCCATTTGTGTACAATGAATCAAAATGTAGTCTGTCATGTATAACTAATTGGAACAAAAAAGTAAATGAGAATCTGATAAATTCTTAGAACAAAGAAGACGAGTGATAAGCTCTCTGGGATAAGAGTTCAAGGTAGGTTAGCCACCCAGATGTTAACAACCTCACTAGTAAATGTCTTATTTCTTTGGAGCTAGAACAAGATGGAAATGGAAAAGTTCTGCATATTTGCTGTCTTCAGTCTGGATAACAAATCTTTCACTCTTCCTGGGGATGTACCTTTCACTGGGACTATAAGCTCAGCCTTCTGTAGATGATAAGCAGGACTTTAGGAAGCAGAGGCAGCCCTACAGACACAACCTGACTCCATAGTTCAGTAGACCTTGAAAATAAACATAGGATATTATTTCTACTTACTATAGTTATGATTTATTTAGGCAAAAATAATCAGTGTATATTAAAGCTTTTAAATACTTGATGACAAATAAGATTATACATTGTCTTAAAGAATCTCCTCACACGTTAATTATTAATTACTATAGGAAAATTGGTAATTTTCCAGTAGAAAAACCTGGCTGACTACCCTTTTACCAAGTGGCCCAAATCCACTTAATCCAGAAATGGCATAAATTGACAGGAAGTGACTCCTAAGACACAATCTGGTATTACTGCCAAAATTGTAAGTTGAATCTAATCACAATGAAACACCACACAAACCCAAGTGATACTCCTTTTGAATAACAGCCCCGTACTCCTGAGCAATGGATTGAATAATGACAGGGATGGAGGAAAAAGTAGACTGACTCAGAAAATACTCTTTTTAGAAAGTACATCTCCTAAAGAATTCTATATGCAATATGTTCCAGCATTTCTGGGGGCAGAGGGAAGGTAACCAATTGAGAAGGTTGTTTATGCCTTTAATTTGTATCCAAAAATGATCCAGAAATTGTTAATGTTTGTTGTCTCTGGAGAAGTGAGGCGAGGAAATGAATTGGGAGACAGTATTGTTTTTTTTCACTTCAATATTTTATCATTATTAAAAAAATATTTAAATGGATTTTATGTTTAAAGTTTTTTTTTTATTAGGTTTAAAACGTGATTATCCATCATCAAGTGAAGGAAACCATACCTGAAAAGAATGGGTACTATATTATTTCATTCACTTAAATTTCACAAGTAAGCAAAACTCATCCATGGTATTATACATTAGACTCTGGATTTGCTTTCTATTGAGGTGAGAAAATTGTTGGAAGGAGCACAGGGGAATAAAATTATTTTTTATTTCCTTAGATAAAATTGACTGTTTTTACGTGTGGTGAGATAAATGTTTGCCAGCTAAGAAATCAAATCATGGAGAACCAATGACTACTTGAAAATAAACTTCTACAACCTATTTGTATATGTATTTGTATCTATGAGTATATATGTCTTTGATGGAGACACACACAACATGGTCAGAGGGAATTTTAAAACCTGATGGGATTTTCTAAGAATATACTTTACAATGAATTCTTTAAAGTTTACTTTATGATTATGTATCTACTAAAAGGGAAAAAAATCCTCCAACTAAAAACGGATGAAAATGTTTTCTATAGAGCTCTTGCCCATCTGCATCAGAAGCATTTTATTTCCCAGCTGCTATTAGTTTATATTGAATGCATATTCAGATGGGTTTCCACATACTCAGTCATCTCATTTTTCTTTAATGCACATTGAGCCATGTTTGAAACAGGATTAGTTTTCAGCTTAACTGAGTACTACATTTTGATAACTTCAAGTGAATGGCTCATTCAAGTATATTCAAGATGCACTATTTACAGTACTGCAATGATTATTTGAATCCTTTTAGATCTGTTTTCATTTATTCTTTACATATTGCATGGTGAATACAAAAAAAATTGTTAGGGTTTCGAAGTATTGATTTCAAGGTATTGGTATTGAACTGAAATTAATCTTTTTCGTTAGCTTTTCTATTTTGAGCATCTCCTGGACTTTTGGGAATTACTTATAAATTTGTTGTAACCTTATAATAATCCTGGTGAAGGAGGCATGAATATCCTTTATTTTAAACTAAGTTCTTCAGGAAATTTGTTGCAGTGAGAGAAATAAGGATATTAGTAAATAACATTGATATTATGACGTCTTATCCTGCTCCTTCTAAGGAATATTTGATTTTTTTTTTTTTTTTTTGGTTCATGGACCTTATTGAAATTATTGGTGAGAGGGAGAATTGGGATGAACCAAGGCAGATTTTATTGATTTCTGATGGAATGTAAATGGTGCTAAGGTAGAAAAGGGGCCTAAAATGAGAGAGGAGTTGAGAGAGGCGTATAAAATAGAGGAAATTTGCTAAAGTTTTAGGGAGGAGAGAAAAGAAAGTTTGTATTTGGGGATAACCACTGTCATAACCTTGTGAAATCTTTGAATACTATATTAGTTTGCTAGGGTTCCTGTAAAAAGGAAAGCTTGGGTAAAACAGTGGAAACAGTGGAAATTCATCATCATAGAATTGTATGATGTGGAAGCCCACAATCTAAAATCATTCTCGCCGAGTTAAAGTCCAGGTGTTAACAGGGCTGCAATTCCTTCTGGAAGTTCTAGAAGAATACCCGCTTCCTTACCTTTTCCAACTGGCAGAGCTGCTTACGTTCCTTTGCTCATGGACATAGTTGTCTTCAAAGCCGGCAATGCTTGATCCGGCTTCATGGTGCCTCCCTCTGACACTGGCTCTTCTGCTCCTGTCCTCTATTAGGAACTTTTCCTTCACACTGCCCACGTATCTATAATCCAGGACAATCTCATTCTTCCAAGGTCATCCAATAACAACTTTAATTTTGTTTGGAACTTTAATTCTCCTTTGCTGTGTCACGTAACCTATTCAGAGGTCCCAGAGGTGAGGGTATGAGCATCTTTGGGAACCATTATTCTCCCTACCTCAGACACCAAACCTTCTGTCTTGATTTTACACAGTATACAAGTCTGTCCTGATAAATGACTCCCCCAAGGTAAAAATACTAGAGTAAGTACTGTGGAAAAATTATTTACTATATGACTCACAAAAAAAATCTAGAATCTCTGAAGCTTCTATTTTGGATGGCTCTGTTTTGCCCTACAAGATAGCAAATAATTTTATGATTAACCATGCACATTTGTTTCTTATGACTTTTGGTTATAAATGTGATCTCTGTGTATTCTTTGGGGAATTTTTTTTTCTAGTATAGTAAGAAATATTGATTTACTGTAGCTCTCATGCACCATGATGTGGAGTAGGTGTTAGTTTCATGACAGTCTTTCCCTATTGATCTTTGTATTTACAAGATATTTCACAGTGTTTATGAAAATGTATACAGTGTAATCAGTTCAGTCCTCAAGTGCATGGATGGACAGAATGAATGAGATAGCAATAAGATCTCTGAATGAGAAATGAGTAGACAAGTTTCCTTGTCTCAGTCTTGCCATCTTGCCACCAATTTTTGGTCTTGTCTTTCAGTAACCCATCTGAAATTACATGGCACACCTAGACTCTCTACAAGTTTTCTTAATTCTAAAGTTCTATAGATAAAATTGCATTGGAGATACTGTCTGTATCTACCAAGGTGGTGCTCATGTCATATAGCAAAGCTGTAAGACAGTAGGGAAAGAATGTTCAGTACAGGAAACCAGACCAGAAGGAACATGAAGAAAAGGTAGATGTCAATATCTGCACATTTTTTTTTTTTGGTCAGAATGAAATCAAATGAATGGTATGCTAATTCTTTTTTTTAGTTTTTTTTTTTTTATTGGTTGTTCAAAACATTACACAGCTCATGACATATGCTAATTCTTAATTTTGTTGGAGAAACTGGTTGAAGGTAAGGTTAATATGGTGCATCTTCTCCAATCCAGGGACTTGATCATTTAATTCTGAGCCTTGACACATGAGAATGTGTCTTGGGACAAGAAGGGAGATCTCAACATGAAAGTATACTGAAGTGTCATTAAGAAGTAGTCTATCTTAATGGATCAACGCCTTAATTTTTCTTGGATGTTACATTTTCAATATTGGAAACTTCTTCCTGTCTCCCACTTGATGTCTCCATGTTCACACATATTAAAATGTGTACACTCATGGCCCTCACACACAAACACATAAATATACATACCATATACAAAGAAGAGGGAAATGAATGATCATCCCTTTTCAGCAGGCTGAAAAATTAAGCTAAATTCTGGATGACAGAGATGAACTTATGCAGTGGTCCAAGGACTAGATTTGTGGCTCTACACCTATCCAGTTGTTTTGCAATTCCAAACCCATTATCTCCTATAGACTCTACATAGCAACTACAGCTTGAACTGAAATCAGACACTGTTGTGTTACTTTTTGCACCCTGGAATCACTGAGTTGGTCTGAATAGCAATATTTAATAATGGATCCAGGTGCCTATCACTTTCATTATTTGGAGCACAAAATTGATTTCATGCTTGATTTTTTTTTTGCAAGCAGATTTGTCCATTTGTTTATATATTAGCTGCAAAAAAAATCCAGTTTTGCAGATGACTTTTCTTCACTTTTGTATACTTTATTTTTCCTTTGTTAGTTTCAATTTTTCCCCAATGCAGTGTTAATAAGAGGGGCCTCTTGCCTTTAATTGTAAGGAAAGTGAGATGTTTCCTTTCAGTGGCATTTATAGCAATTGGATCAGTCACCTGTCATAACCCCATTATATGTGCTTAGGACAGAGTCCAGTTTATCAGACCAGGCCTCAGGCAACTTCCTAAGTGTCCAAGGAATCAAGGGCTTTGCTGGGCCCT